TCGCAGCAAACAATGAACGTGTCTCTGCAGACCAAGCCAGTGGTAACCTTGCTCCACTGATGCCACACGCTGCTTCCTGACCGCACCAATGCCAACGCGCGCCCCCGCGGCAAACCTGGCTTAAGGCGTCGCATGAATGAGGACGCACACACACGACCCTTCAGGGCACGTCGGCTCATAAGTGCACCAGCTTCCCGAGCGTTACACGGAGCAGTTGCACACAACGTGAGCACAACACAGATGAGCTCTCTCCGCAGCATCAGCAACACACAACGTCTTGCATGCTCGGGGACGCGCGTGTTTTTTCTCTCTCACTCAGCGCGCTCCAGCTCACGCAAGTATGTGAGTTTTCACAGCATAAATGCGTGCCCGCTTTATAGCTTATAAACGGGTGGCAATGAACGCGCGTTTCCAGACGGATGGGTGAACCGTTTTCATCCAGGATTCACGCTGCAGTTTAGCTCAAACCCCGGTGTGGAGGACCTCTGACATTTTTTCTGTCATTTTTGAACAGATCTCGTCCCCTCTAGCAGAAGCTCAGGAAATTCTGTTTTAAATGTAATTTCTAGAGTCTCAGAAGGAGAGGAAAACGCAAGGTCTCTCTCATCACTTCCTGGTCCCAATGAACTGGAAAGATGGGATTTATTATAGATTGTCAATTCCTAAGCTGTGAGAAACAACACTCCATTATGCGCCTGAGCCGCTTTAATTCTGCTTTATCTGGACACCTGCTGCTGCTGAGCAGCTTGTACAGACAGGTGGCAGCAGTGCAACTCACGTGAACCGGTTGAGTGATATCAGCTGTTTTCCATCAGCAGACCTACGTCACACACTTAACAAGCTGTGGGGCCGCTGTGGCTCTCCACACAGCAGCTCTTTTAAATGTTTTTGGAGTGTCGCATGGGATCTTTGAATGTGACTCAACACTGACCTTGAGCTGCAGAATCATCAGGGTTTTTGGTTCACACAGACAGCAAGTGACTGTTGCATACATACTGGCAGGAGATGTATGCGTTTTTCAACCCATGTGCCACATTGTGAGACAGATGCTGTGTGGGGCACACCCAATCTGCTCTCCATTGGAGTGGGTACATCTCATGTATTCCACCCAGAGCTATGGGTCAGACACGGTAGAAATCCTGCCAGCGTCTGTGGACGTGTAGCAACACGAGAGAACGCTCAATGTCAATTATAATTATCGTGGAGCCACGGGACGATCCACCGCTGGGTGGACGTGCCTGCTCACAGCCTGTGGTCGTAATGCCTTTTCACCTTCTTCTCTCCTTCTGGTATCACGGTTTTCTGAACCGAGCTCAGGAGGAGGGACTGGCAGCTCCTCTGTCCCAAGTGCGTGAACGCATCATGGTTCCCAGGCCTATGACATTTGTTATCAGGGCGCTCGTGGAACCTGCCGTGGAGGGAGGACGCTCTCCTCCAGGCGGGAGGAACGATCAGGAATTAATCAGAATAGGCCAGCACCTGTGGTTTGGCCGCTGTGCGGATCTTGTTGAGAGGATGGATCAAACTCAAGATGTAGTGCGTATGATTCAGGAGTCACGTGCTGCAACCACCACAGTGCTGTTCACATCAAGTGGTCAGTTTTTCAACGCTGCTGTACAGAGAAAGGCGTAGAGGCCATTTCATGTCCACCGGATGACATGCTGTCCTTTCTGCAGCAGTCGAGGGACAGAAATCTGGTGTCCAGCATGACTATCTTATGCTGCAGCTGTGTTTTCTTCTTGTCTCAAAGTTGTCGGAGACAGAACAACCTTTAATCATCCTCTGACGGAGCATTTTGTCTCAGATTGATATAGCAGCTGTGGGCCTGTTTGTGACACGAGAAACGCTCAGTGTCAATTATGCGTTTCTCTGAGCCTACGAGATGAACCACCGCTGGGGTGGATGCGTTTGTCCACAGTCCATGGCCCAAAATGCTTCTGTACGCGTTTTTCTCCACCTCCTCTGATTTTACGGTTCTTGAACCGAGCTCAGGAGGAGGGATTGACAGCTCTCCTGGTGGCCCCGAACGCGTGAGCGCACCATTGTTCCCAGCCCTGCAACGCCTGCTGTCGGGGTGCCCGTGGAAACTGCCGTAGAGGGAGGATGCTCTCCTCCAGGCAGGAGGAGCGACCAGGAGTTACCCAGAAATAGGCCAGCACCTGTGGGTCTGGCCATTGAACGAATCCACTTAGAGAGGATGGGTTGCCCACAGGATGTAATGCGCACAATTCAGGTTTCACGTGTTGCATCTACCACAGCGATGTACACGTAAAGGTGTAGAGGCCACCTCATGTCCATTAGGTGGCATTCTGTTCTTTCTGCAGCAGTTGATGGACAGAAATTTGCATCCAGCACGTTTAAAATATATGCTGCAGCCATCTCTTCCTGACATGAAGGTTTCTGAGACAGAACAGGTTTTAATCATCCGCTGATGAAGCGTTTTCTAAAAGGTGTACAGAGACGCAGGCCTGTCTCACACCCACTTGTTCCAGTGGGATTTAATACTGGTCCTGCAGGTCCTTGATCAAAGCTTCATTTGAGTCTTTGGATCAGGTTCCACTTAAATTCGTGTCTCTTTAAACAGCCCTGCGGCTGGCTTTAACATCCGCTAAGAGAGTGAGTGTTTTATCTGCCCTCTCTGTCGCTCCGTCATGTCTCAGAATTCAGGCTGACGGCAGCTCAGCTGATTTTAGACCAACCCAGCTTTTATGCCTAAAACATCACGATCTCTTTTAATCAAGAGCGATATCGTTGGAGGGGTCGTCCCCCCCCCCCCCACACAGATCAGTAGAAGTAGCGTCTTTTTATCTCCTCTGTCCTGTGCGGGCGTTGACGTGTTACATAGCGTGCACAGCTGCAATGTGTCAACATCTGTTTGTGCATTATAGAGATGCATCTGCAGGTCGCCCGTTATCCACCCAGCGCTTGTCACACTGGCTGTGTGAGGCCATTTCTGAAGCCTTCAGAGCATCAGATTTAGAGCCTCCTGTCAACCTCAGAGCACACTCGACCAGGGGTATCGCATCTTCGACTGCTTTGCATAATGGTATGTCAATGCAGGACATTTTGCACTGTGGCTGCGTGGTCAACACCCTGCTCATTTATTCGCTTTTATCTAGGTGATGTGACGGCCCGTTCCATGGCACATTCGGTCCTTAGTGTTTACAGAATGAATATTATTGTTTCATGGAACTCCATTTTACTCACATCTGTCTGCATGCATTACAGTGTGAGATGTTATCAGTCACAAGTTGTGACTGTTATTTTGGTTCTATTGTCATTAATTAGTTCACGACTATTGTTACCAATCAGTTCATTTGATTAATAATCAGCTCTCCTGTTATTATTAATCTGTTCATACGGTTCAGCCGTAAACCGGTTGGTTCATGGCTCTTTTCAGCGTTTTTCCCTCCCCGTTGAAGTTTTCCGGGGTGTTCATGCATTCAGAATGCATAGTTACACAACATGCGTCTGTGCATGGCACACATAATTACGCAATGCATAATTACGCACATGGGAGCTGAGTGATTAGACTTTTTTGGGCAAGCTTCTGCTTCATACGGTGTTCGAATGGACCCAGTGAGGCGAGGACAACATCCGCTTCGCCCTTAACCCACTAAGCGACAGCCTTAAAGGGCGAAGCCTATACGAAATAGAACGTTGGTTACGTACTGTAACCCCAGATTCTATGAGTATAGGCGTAGCCCTTTAAGCGTCGGGCCTCACTGGCTCCTAAATGGCTGAAGAAAAAGCTATTTTTGGGAGCCGATTTCCCGCTCTTAACGTAATTTATACGGACCGGGTGGGGCCCACACAGCAGGTGGGCGTGGATTAAATTTTTCAGTGCAAATGCTCCGCATAACGGGATAAACCCACTAAGCGACAGCCTTAAAGGGCTACGCCTATACTCATAGAATCTGGGGTTACAGTACGTAACCAACGTTTTATGTAAGAATCAAACTATTTGTCCATTTCATAGAGTTCAATAAACAAGTTCTTAAAAAAGTATTTTGAAGTAACCATCTTGTCTGAAAAACATTTCAGACATAAAATTTCTTTGAGTTATAAGAGCCTTGAAACACATCCCTCACACACAAGTTGCTTTTAGACTTATTTCTGAGAATTTAAGATAAAAACAAATGTAGAAATATTGAACATTTTTCACAAATTTCCAACACAGAAACACTCCTAACAAACAGCCATGCACTCACACATCAGCTCATTATACGTATATACTGCCAGTTAATCAAACTTGCATGTTTTGGGATTGTGGTAAAGAACTAGAGCATCCATAGTAAGCCCACACATGCACAGGCGAAACATGCAATGTCACTGTAGGATGGCCCCAACCGGGTGTCAAATCCAGAATCTGAATTCTGCAAGGTGAAAACAATAACCACTGCGTTCCCTTGTTATATGGAGAGAAAAAAAGACAAAAAGGAAACACTTTGGCTTTTGCATTTTCACAATTTTTAATATGGAAGTTGTATACTTACAACTATATAACTATAGTTGTATAGTTGAAGTTGTATACCTGGATTATTGAGCATGGACTTTGTTGTATATGGAAGTTGGTTTCATAACTAAGGACTCAGTTTGATTATTATTATTTATTTATTTACAATTTATTGGAACAATCTTCTTTGATTTTAGAATACCAGATGCAAAAAATAAATAAAAATAAATGTTGTATGTAGTCACTTTAGTACCAGAATTAATTCACTCTTTATTTATACATATAAATCACATTGAGCCTTGAAGACTCATTTACAAGTGAAATCTTTTTAGACAGACAATAAAGCGGTGAAAATGCCAACAAAGGTTTTGGAGGCAAAAAAAAAATAAAATCCTAACATGCTCTTAATCTTTGGCTAAAGATTAATAGCCTGAATAAATTGTACTTTACATATTTTTACAAATGCATAAAATCTTAAAATTAGACATAAGACAGTTGAAAACATCTGATTTCAACTAAGTCATTTGAGCTAACATAATGGATCTCAGATTTTGCCTGAACAAAACAATCTTTTAAGACGTTTGCAAATTTCTTTCATTTTGATTCCATATATGAATGGATTAAACAAAGGATGATATAAAAGCACTTGTAATGTCATTATAAAACAAACAGTTTGGGGAAAATCAACGTCCATTCGGGCTATAATTACATCATATGTAATCAAACAGAAGTAGCTGATTAAAACCAACAGGTGAGGTATGCAGGTCTCAGCAACTTTTTTTCTCAATGTTTTAGAATTTTTATAGGATATCACAAATATCTTTGCATAAGTAAAAACTGTAAAGATCATGGGTATATATACAATATTTATTAAAGCAACAACCCCAAAAATAGCAATTGGTCTTGATCTTACACAGTGAATTGAGTAAATGACGTTGTTGCAAATGATTCCATTTAACCTTAAATTACATATTTTAGCTTTGGCACTCAGGATTGTTTGTACTGCAATGTGGCAAGCAGGAAAGAACCAGGCCAGAACAAGAAAAAGGTTCACTGTGCTTTTAGTCATAATCATTCGATATTGCAGAGGTTTGCAAATAGACACATATCTGTCAAACGACATCACTGCCAGCAGTAAGAACTCTGCACATCCTACAGTATAAAACATAAAAAACTGGAAGTGACAAGCTAAATATGATATGATCTGGTTTTCAGATAAAAAGTCAATCAGGAGCTTTGGGTAAAGGGTGGTGCTGTAAAGAACACAGTTAAATAACAAAGCTGCTATGAAAATGTACATGGGCTCATGGAGGTTTTTGTTTGTCCAGATCAGATACACAATAATAGAATTACTACAGATTATCAACAAATATACTGTAAACATAATAGCAAAATACAAATATTTGTATTTGTTTAGTTCCACATACCCCCACAAAGTTATGTAAGAAACGTTTAACTCAGTATCCATTACTGTTCTTCAACTATTGTATCTGTTCATTCATTGTAAAGTTAAAGTCTAAAACTTTGCATCAATATCCAGTCTCCAGCAAGTCTCTTTTTATTTTTTATCCTTCACAATATGGAGAAACTGAATTCTTTGTCTGTGGCAAGTTGTTTTTAATAGTCTGCCCTCTCTAAAGAGCTCATCTCTGGAGGCCAGTTTTTGCTTTCCTGTTTTCTCTACAAAGCTGTAACAATACACAACAGTAGCATTCTACACCAAGTAAAATAAATTCAATATAATATTAACCTAAATAATGTTTTTTACACATAAATTCTGAACCTTGCATTTCTGTGTTAGTTCATAGCATTTACTTTGGATTACACACAGTATATTTCATTTTTGTACTGTTGTGGGTGGATGTTGCTAGAGGTAAACAGGAGTTTGTCAGTTTGGAACAATAGCTGTGTGTAAGGATGGCGCCATCTGTGGGCCTTCCTTGTCTGTACTCCCTTGTGTGTCTCATCATTTATCCAACTAATTTCAACCTTGTCTCGTGCCAGCTGTTTGCAATCACTTCCTGCCTTGTCAGTGTCTCTTGTCTCTCTGTTAGTCTTGTTCGTTGTCAAGTCATCGTTGGGTCTACCCTGTCTTGTCTTGCCAGTCTGATCCCGTCCCAAACATATTTTGTAAATTGCTGCCTTGTCAGCCTTTTGGTTTATTATTATTAAAAGTATTTATTTTTGTATTTGGAGTCCGAGTCCCTGTCTGCACTATTGGGTTTGTTCTTGCCTGCAAAACCCTGACAGAACGACGCAACCATACTAGAACCCAGCGGACAGGGTTCACCTCAGAATTTTTTGTTACTCACCTGTCTGAACGATTCACAGATGGTGGAGCCCGTGACACAATGCAGCGGGTTCCGGACCGAATCCGTCCAGACTCAAGATTTCTGTAGTCAGGCAGTGGAGATCCTGCCCTCCCCTCTTCTGGTGTTACAGGAGGAAAAATAGAGGGTCCAGCTTCGGGTTAACCGCCTGACAACTGTGTCCAGATCTCCAGCGCCACTCGTCATCTTGGGATGGACATCCAGGGAAGACGAGGATGAACCTTGTCTTGTGCTTGTCCCCGATCCTCACTGCCACCATAGAAGTGGCAGAAAACGTAACCGGAAGCGGTCCACGGCGCTCGCTTTGGTACCATCAATGGATTCGACTCAGCTCGGCTGAGTCGAGTTTCCTAGAAGCAGTCCCAGTGTCTCTGTGGGGACGGGTTCCGTTGTCTCACCTCCCAGGTTTCAGGTGAGGGCGAAACTTGACACCTCACTTCCGCATGGAGCCACTCTCAGGACTGGATCTAACACACTCCAGCTCCAACCCAGTGACCTCATCCAATTAAACCAGACTCTACAGAATATATTCTCTTCTGCTCAACATAACCCGGACTGTCAATACACTATTCTCTCCCTTGCAGAAAAATATTTACTGTCTCAACCCGGTCTCACCCAAATCCCTGAATATCATCAGCTGTTGATTAAAATAAGGACTCTGATAATACCCACTGTAGTGAACTAGACCTCCGACATCAATCTGTCTCTGAAGACCTTCAGGGGACAGGAACTGTTATTTCATTGATTTGAATCCAAAATTCAAATTATCTCATCAAGAGACTATTTAATTGTATCCTGAATTAATCAATTGAAAGAACACTTTTCTTTTTTATATTATCATTACTATTTTACAATATCTTGATAATCAAAAGTGTGTTTAGTTCATACCATTTCTAATGTTGAAAGTAAACCACTCATTTAAATCAACTGTGAAACAGTATTAATGATTTTTAAACCTCATTAGACTTGGATCATACAAGTTAAATGTCTATTTACGAAGTAAGTATGCATTTACTCTTCTGTCTGTGTGAGGAGTGGACCTGATGTCGGTCAAAAGTCAGAAGACAAGTTATGACAACGAAGTGCCTTGTTTTAAAACTCTCAGACAGTAAATAAGAACTGGCTGGCACCTGCTGTCTCTCACTTCTTCAAAATATTTTCCTGTCTGTACTAACCGTTCTTAAAAACATTTCTGCTGTCTGCTGACTCCTAATAACCCTCTGACATCACTAAAACTACACCCCTGCTGGTTGTTTTAACCAATCAGGAAGTACCAAGTGACAGGAAGTGGATACCCTTTAAAAGTCAACACTTCTTGGAACTATTCAGTCTTCCGAGTCTTCCCAGTCTTCCTGGAACTTTCAGCCTTACTGGAAGATGAGACTCAGTCTGATGGCGAGTCGTACAGGAACTTTCAGTTCTTACTGAAAGTCAGCTTTGGAGTATGGAATTGGACCATGTGCCAAGGGTCCGTCCATTCCAGCAGAGTCCCAGTTGCCTCGCTGTGACTCACCCTGAGCATTAAATGCTCTCAACTTCTGAGGAAGCTTATTCTATTGAACGGAGTATATGGAACTACTTCGTAAGATTCTCAGCCACCCTGACCGGAGACGCTGAAAAGGTAGCGTGCCAATGGACCTCTGTTCCGGAGTTGATGTATCCTCTGCTCAGGTAACAAGTCGTTCACGCCCTGAGTGTACCGGAGGGCTGAGCTGGGGTCGGAGGAAGGGCGCCGTTTTCTGGTCCTTATATCTTCCTTCATCCATCTAAACCTCCTCTTTAAATCTTTAAACTTCTTTACCTCTTCTCTTTAAACTTCTATTTGCCAGTAAATCAAGTTAAGTGCCTTCAGAGATGAATCATTCTCCATCAGTAATCTTCTGTTGTCTTGTTATTTGAACTTGCCAAGTTTATTAATCAGAAACAGATCAGCCAATCAATGTGTACATGTTTTGATGTTAAATTTTGATTCTGTTAAATAAATGACCACATTTATTCTGATGGGTCAAAGATAAATTACATCTCATGTCACTAATTATACCCTCCATTCTCAAGTTATCTGGGTCACATGGCAGAAATTTAACTTGAAAAAGAAAGAATCCGTTGTTAATTAAACAATTAATATTATTTGTGCTTGAACTAGCTTTAAGAATAATTAATTAGTAGTGAAGCTAACAGCTAGCTCACTACACCACCACAGACTCAGTTCCAGATCCAGCCTCTGCTCCCGAGCCCAAGGAGGAGCTCTCGTCCACTCTTGAACCTGTCGAGGCTCCAGAGCCTACAGCCCAGAGTCCAGAACCTGCAGCCCAGAGTCCAGAGCCTCCAGCCCATTTGGAACCCGTCACGGTTCCTGAACCAGCCCCAGTCTCAGTCCCAGTTCCAGTCTCAGTCTTACCTCCAGAACCCGCAGTCCCAGAACCTGTCAAAGCCCCAGAACTTGTCAAGGCCCCAGAACCTGTCAAGGCCCGAGAACCTGTCGAGGCCCCAGAAACTGTCGAGGCCCCAAAACTAGTTCCAGTCCCAGCATCGGTAGTCCCTCCAGCACCTGCAGTCCCTCCAGTGCCTGCAGTTCCTCCAGTGCCTGCAGTCCCTCCAGCACCTGCAGTCCCTCTAGGACCTGCAGCCAGCCCAGACACTGCAGTCCCTCTAGCACCTGCAGCCAGCCCAGACACTGCAGTCCCTCCAGAACCTGCAGCCAGCCAACAGCCTACAGCCAGTCCACAGCCTACAGCCTGCCCTGAACCTACAGCCACCACAGAGACTGCAGACACCACCGAAGCTGCTGTGGGGTTCCAGATGGACTCTGCTCCTGCTTCATATCCTGCCGCCGAAGATCCAGCCGCAAAAGATCCAGCCCTTGATAATCCGGCTGCAGAAGAGCTCCTTGCCGCTGACCCGCCTGCTAAGCTCCTCGCTGCTGACCCGCCTGCTGAGCTCCTCGCTGCTGACCCGTCTGCTGAGCATCTCGCTGCTGACCCGCTTGCTGAGCTCCTCGCCACTGACCCACCTGCTGAGCTCCTCGCTGCTGACCCGCCTGCTGAGCTCTTCACCGCTGACCCGCCTGCTGAGTTGTTCACCATTGACCCGCCTGCTGAGCACCTTGCTGCTGACCCACCTGTTGGGGTCCTCACTCCTGGTCTATCCGCTGAGGTCCTCGCTCCTGGTCCATCTGCTGAGGTCCTCACCGCCGATCCGTAAGAGGTCCTCACCGCTGATCCATCTGCTAAGGTCATCGCTCCTGGTCCGTTCGCCAAAGTCCTCGTTCCTGCCCTGTCTGAGGTTCTCACTCCTGGGTCCACGCCTCAGCCTGGGGGTCCTGAGCCTGCCGAGGGGTCATCGCCTCAGCCTGGAGTCTTCACTTCTAGCCCACCTGAAGTCTTCTCTACTGATCCGACAGCAGAAGATCCTGGCCCGTCTGAGATCTTCGTCCCTGGTTCACCTGAAGTCGTCACTCTTGGTCCGCCTGAAGTCATCACTCTGGACTCAATCGCAGAAGATCCTGGTCAGCCTGAGGCCTTCGTCCACGGCTCTCCTGAGGCCTTCGTCCCTGGCCGCCTGCCTGACCGGCCTCGGCCTGATGAATGGTCCCCAGGATGCCCATCTGACCTGCTTCTGCCTGAACGGCTTCCCAACCACCTGTCTGACCTGATCCTATCTGTATGGCCTGATGGATGACCTCTTGACCACCTGCCTGACCGTCCCTGGCCTGATGAATGGTCTCCAGGCTGCCCATCTGACCTAATCCTGTTTGTACGGCCTGCTGGATGACCTCTTGGCCGCCTACCTGACCAGCCCCGGCCTGATTAATAGTCCCCAGGCCGCCCGTCTGACCTGCTTCTGCCTGAACAGCCTCCCGGCTGCCTGTCTGACTTGATCCTGTCTGTATGGCCTGATGGACGACCTCTCGACCACTTGCCTGACCGGCCCCGGCCTGATGAATGGTCCCCAGGCCGCCCGCCCGACCTGCTCCAGCCAAACGAATGGTTTCCTGGCCACCCGCCTGACCCATTCCGGCCTGCTGGACTGCCTCCCAACCGCCCGCCGGAACAATGACTGTAATAATCCAGGTATACAATCCAACAATTTTCAGTCAGGTCATCTGGACAGTGTTTGTTTTTTTTGCTGAAATGTTTCACCTTACATCCAGAATGCTTCATCAGTCAAGGAAACACACAACACAAAACTGATTCTTCTCCCAAACAGCTTACTCCAAAGTGGAACAAACCAGTTATGTTGGTGCTAAGATGGTGTCTTTGGCACACCCCCTCCTCAAGTGCCGGTCGTCTTCCTGGTCGACCGTCATGTCAGACTGGTTCAAAACCAAAAAAAGTCCATGCTCAATAATCCAGGTTTACAATCCAACAATTTTCAGTAAGGTAATCTGGACAAGTTACTTTTCCCAAGGACTAATCAGTAACTTAACTAAGTTACTTTTTCAATGTAACTATGACAGAATAAAGAAGTCCCCAGCTAGCACACCTGCAGCACCCCTGCCAAGGACTTCAAGAAGGCCAGATACTCTGAACTGCAGTTTGGTGCATAGGCTCAAACAACAGTCAGAGCCCGTCCCCCCACCCGAAGTCTAAAGAAAGCCATCTTCTCATCTACTGGGGAAAACTCCAACACACAGGTACCAAGTCGGGGGGCTACAAGTAGACCTACACCAGCTCGACGCCTCTCACCATAGGTAACTCCAGAGTGGAATAAGGTCCAGCCCCTCTCAAGGAGATCGGTTCTAGAGTCCATGCTGTACGTCAAGTTCAGCCCAACTATATCTAATCAGTACCTCTCAACATCACACACAAGCGCAGGCTCCTTTCCCACCAGAGAGGTCATGTTCCATGTCCCCAATGGTCAGCTTTGGTAAGCCAGGGTCAGAGCGCCAAGGTCCCCGCCTTCGGCCACTGCCCATGACATCATGCTCCCAACTTTTATGGCCCTTCCTGCAAGTGGTGGGTCCACAGGAAGGCAAACCCATGCTGCTCCTTCGGGCTGAGCCCAAATGGGACCCATGGGTAGAGACCCGGTCACGAGGCGCTTGCCAACAAGCCCCTCCCCCAGGCCTGGCTCCAGGGTGGGGCCCGGTAACCCACGTCTGGGCAAGGGACACTGAGTTCCTTGTTTTGTGCTGTCCATAAAAATCTTCTGAATTTCTTGATATTTTTATTTTCAGTTTTGTCTTATATTGCTATGTATTTTAATTAATTTAGTATACATTTTTGTTTCTGGTGTCATTTATGATGGTGTTTTATTTGATTAATGTGATGCACTTTGTAACAATTGTTTAAAAAAGTGCTATACAAATACATTATTATTATTATTATTGTTATTATTATCACTCATCCCCCAGTGAATAGCAAGCACAGTCAAGTCATGTCAGATTTATTTATATAGCACATTCAAAACAGAAATTGTTATCGTTAGAGCTCTTACGATCAGTTGTTAGGCAGATGGTCCTCCTTTTACATGTGAGTACTGCTTCTGGCTATCCCCAGAAACTGTAAAAAAGTGCCATTTTTAATATATTGAACTTTTTAAAAAAATATATAAAACATTACCTTAAAATGTTTTAAACATCTTTGAGTCATAATAATAATAATAATAATAATAATAATAATAATAATGATTAATTGCAAAAATATTTTAGATTAATTAATTAATCACAATTAATTTTTTTAATCTTTGCCCAATACTAATATATATATATATATATATATATATATATATATATATATATATATA